GAATACATTGGTGAACATGTCTAGTCGAAAGAAGGTTATATTGAACCTTTGTAATGCTGTTTGTCCAGTTGTCCATCGCTTCTTTAGCTTAAGTTTCATAATGACAACCACCAGATGGTGATCTGAAGCTATGTCGGCTCCTCTCCTGGTTCTTACGTTTTCCATCGACCCTTTGAGTTTTTTACTGATGTAATTATGATCGATCTGATTCTCTGTAGTTTGATCCAGTGAAACCCATTTAGCTCTGTGTATGCGTTTGTGGGAGAATATAATGTCATTTGTAACCATTTTTCATACACATAGTTCCCTTTATTATCTTAAAGAGAGCAAGAACAAAGATTGGTGCAGAATAATATGAATTCATTTTATTTCGTTAGGTTCTCATCAGCTGCTTACAACCTAAATTATTTGAAATTCAAATTATTACAGATATTGACATATTTATACATAAGAGTGTGATTAAGGATCATTACATGTGTACCATGATGTAGCGAAGATTCAGATAGAGTTAATGAGCTCATAAAATGTATACAAATTTACATGTATCTGCAAAAGCAGTTACATTGGTAGAACAAAAAGGAGAGTCTACGTCCGATTCAAAGAACATATTCCGAAAAGTTTAAGATTAAATGGATTGAACGCACTCAACAGTGCCATCGCAAGACATCTCGTTGATACAGGACATGAAGTTGATATAGTGAAGTCCTTCAAGGTGATTAACAAACAATCAAACTCCAACCTTTTGAAATTCGCTGAAGCAATAGCAATCAAACGTTTAAAACTAGATCTATGTATACAAAAAGAGACAGTAATAAATCTTTCTTTACCCTGGTAACAATAACCCCTTTTATTCATTTACTTCTCTATTTATTTATTGCGTCATTACTCCAACTCTTTTAAATTACATCATACATAAATGATTGATTTCAATTCATATTTTCTTTATTACCATTAATCTATTTTCATGAGTTCTAATCACTATTTCAGTGTTCCGGAACTTTCCCTCTCAAATTTTATTTATTTAAGACAATATTTTATGACTTCATTAACTCTATCGAAATCTTCGCTACATCATGGTACACATGTAATGATCCTTAATCACACTCTTATGTATAAATATGTCAATATCTGTAATAATTTGAATTTCAAATAATTTAGGTTGTAAGCAGCTGATGAGAACCTAACGAAATAAAATGAATTCATATTATTCTGCACCAATCTTTGTTCTTGCTCTCTTTAATATAACCATTTTGTCGAACGCACATAAATTTGCAAATCTGCCACTATTCTCGTTTCTTTGCCCTAGTCCATATCTTCCCATGGTGTCTTTATATCAAGTGTTGTTCACTCCGACTTGAGCGTTTAGGTCTCTCATTAGGATGATAAGGTCCTTTCTTGATCACTTTTCTATGACCGACTGCCACCTCTCGTAAAACTGATCTTTATAGTCTTCATTGCTATAATTGGTGAGTTCATTGTTACTCCTTCTCTCTCTGTTTTGAAAGATGATTGGATGATTCTGGATCCATAAGATTCCCATCCTATAAGTGCTTTCCATTCTTCTTTGGACAGCATCGGTGCAACTCTTTGTATGTGGGAAACACTTCTGACAAATAACAAGTAGTATTTACTCATTTCCACAGCAATTTGATCAGTCCTTCTAGTCTCCCACGCTACCAGCACATTCAATATACCTATATTTATTATTGTTACGGTTGTCAGAAGGGACATCGGTGTTTTAACTTCTGAATAATCTCGGCTTTCACTATGAAGCGTCACAACGCTTCTAAATAAGAATCCTTCAACTCGTACGGCAGAATTTAAACCGTTTAAATTTATTTTTTTCAGGTTAGCGTTTTTTAGCAAGGTTGTTTTTTTACTGGATGGGGTCGCGGACTCTATTCCCAATCCTCCTTCTTGGTACGGGCTTGGGACCGGCAGTAACTCTAGAAAGAATATAGGCGGAGTTGACAACTTAAAGATGCGTTATGTCCCACGAACAAATCTGCATTCAGGGGAATAAAGACAGTTTATTTCCTTTCGACCATGTTACTTACTAAAAGCTGTAGTCATGTCTGTTATTATATTATATATTCATTAGTATCCTTTGGTAATTCATCAATAGGAGCCTGGTCTTTATGTTCCAAAATGATATGTTCAGTCACTCATTTTACAGTATTTCTATTATTCTACCTTTTTCTTTAGTTTCTTACATGTTTTCAGCCCTTTCCTATTTCCATCGCACCATCAAGTGGATATATGTTTCTTCTATATGTTATGTCAATTCTTACCACCATTCGAACATCATCCGATAAGTGAACGTTCTTGATTAAATTTTTCTAGCTATGTTGATTATGCGTAAATGTTCCATTTCATTACAAAATACTATGTGTAAAATAGTAGTATTATCGAATTATACAGCTGAAAAGGAACTTTTTCCCCATGAATTGTTGCTATTTTTTAAATAATGCAATGAATGTTTACTCTTTTATTAGTTTTTTTGCCACTGGAGTAAAACCTGAGTTAAAAATACTATTCCTTGATATTTGAATAATAATAATACTGACAATAATCAATTATGCAAAATTATTATCATGAAACATTTGGTGAGATAGTTTAGTTTGTATTTTCAGTCATAGACTTCCTATTAACTAGAAAATCAGTGGAAATTAAAATCTAATGATTTTCCATGTTTACCATGTTTAGTCAGTAATGTAATCTTTGGCCATTTAAAGTATCGTTTTGTGGAAACATAATGTGAAAAATTGAAAAATCAATTAACATTGAGGTCTACAGGAGAAGCTGTAAGCGAAATGTGGAGAAATTAGAACAATTCACTTTTACCTGAAGTTTGTACTGGTGATGTCGTTCAGAATAACGGTGAAAGCTGCACGACTAAACCATTCAGCTCAGAGAACACAACTTTATCACAAAGAAAATCTTTGATTATTCACATTCTGATATGAAATTAAAATCTTATTTACTGGGAAATTTTGAAGGTTTTTTTATAGAATTTCTGACTTGGGTTGTATAATTCATGACTCAAAAAATGAAATCTGAATAATATCGGTTCATCAAATAATATCAATTCGTGAGGAAAATTAGCTTCGGATTCTGACGTGATACTATGACTATTGGTTGTAACTGAAAGTAGAAGTAAGAACGAACAATTGATCATTAGCGAAACTGAAACTGAAATGGTCCAATGCAATGGAAAAGATAAATAATTATGTATCTCACTATCCGAATACTTAAAAACTTCTTTTGTTTCCCTTCTTAACAAATTAACTTATTTCTATACAAACCTATCTGAACAATTCATTCATTAATAGAAGCAATAATAAATTGATATGAAACGATATGTCACACTAAATTAATCCAAGAAAATACCACATTGACTTAAATCATAACAAAGTATCCCATTAAAATGGTCTAAAATAATGTGTAATACTATGGGGTGCAATACTAAACAAAAATACCCTACACAACCCCATATTCAATCCCTTAATAATAATTATTTAAATAAATGTTTTTATCAGACTGGGAATATTTTTCCATTTTACCAAGATTTTTGAATGACAATCTTCTCATTGTTTAGTACTAAACATCAGCTGAGATTTAATTACAATATCATAAAAAATGTACCAGTTTACTGTCTTACAAATACTTGTTCGCTTCAATATAACTATAGAACACATTTATGATAGTTAAGGTTTAAATATAATTATCTTTCACACTACTCACTAATTAGATTAGAAATAAATGCAATCCAATGCTTTTATTTATAAGTGATTAGTAAGAGTAGAGTTGGGGAAAAAATGCAATAACCATGACTAATCCATAAATCTATCAAATAACGTTATAATATAAGGTTGACTGATTACTTCCTGTTGCGATGAGATAAAAGCCAAGAATATGTTTTAACCTCGATATAAAATCCGTTTATATTCAGTGTAATATCTATGTGGTACTTGTTAAGCATAACGTCGTTTTGCATAAATTTCATATTTTTTACTAAAACTTTGATCATTCATTTGTAACAATTCAGTGTAGCATGTATTCACTGGTGCCTTACTAAGTAATTACTAGAGTTCTAGCGTGAGAACATAACCAGTGTAGTTAAACCACACAACCTGTTATGACTTTATGTTCGACTTTTTACACGTGATTTATCCACCAATCAAAATACGACTTATACTATCTTAGCACTGTGCCAAACCAATGACGTTCGACCGGTATGGACAGCCTAGCATCCTTATTGGTCCTGTGTCCGCCTAGCCCGTTCACTTGAGCCCAGAAAGCCAATACCAGCTTCCACTATGCGAATCATTTATTTCAAACATACTGTGTTTATATATCAAACAAACAGACTGCAACGCACCATAAAATAGGAAATAACATTTATACACAATAAAGCCAAAAAGTGGCTGTGAACGTGGGAGGCAGTAGTTAATAAACTGAGCATAATTTAGGGACAGTAAATCTTATAATAATAAATTATAGGTCAAAATGAAGCTTATCTCAAGAGGAATATAAATATATATAAGCTAATTATTGAATAATTATACCATAAGAATATTTATACAATATTAGTCCACTAATAGTCCTCGGAAGTTACCCGTAATTTATTCTTCACTAGCATATAACATAACCAACGAGACAAATATCATCAGTGCTAGTGGATGATAATCGTACAATATCAAGAATCGATTTAAATTAGAAATGCAGATCAGTCAGTACAGACTCAGTAGTCTAAAGACCTGAAGGTCTTGGGGTTGGACCTAGATAAAGTTGGTGGATGCGCACTACTGAGGACTCCCGTGATAGGATGAGACAGCTCTCCAGTGACTCTTAGTTATGATGAATAAGATGAATAAAATTCCGTATACATTTTGGATTCATTTTTTATTTCGAATTTATCAACAATCGTCATATATATAATTGATTAAATAGATGTAAACCTTTATTCTTGTTATCATTTTTTTCAATTTAAAACTTAGTTATGTGTTTCCTCCGATCAATCGACTACCTGATGCATTTCGTGATGTGCTAGCGAATTTAAAGTATGTTAATCATGTACTTTTCTGTCATTGCATAAAATTTTTCTCTCTTGTTACTTGTTCTTGCTGAATGATTTCATTGAATATATTTTACTTTATTGTGAAACAGTTTTTATTTGATTCTGAATTAGAGATTTATTTAGATTTGTATATACTAATGTAAACATTCAATCCATTAACTTTTTATGAAAGAATTGTTATACAAAATTAAATATTCAATTAGTAAATCTTACTTTACTTACTTAAGCCTGTTAATCCCAACTGCCGACCAGCATCCTCCAACCCACTCTGTTCTACTTCTTCCTTTCCAGTCCTATACAGTTGTTGTTCATTCTTTTCATGTGTGTCTCCATTTCTCAGCGTAATGTGTTCTTTAGTCTTCCTCTTCTCCTTTGGCCTTCAGATTTCCATGTGAGGGATTGCCTTGTGACGCAGTTGGGTGCTTTCCTCAATGAGTGTCCTATCCACTTCCGGCGCTTCTTCCTGATTTTTTCCTCCGCTGGGATCTAGTTTGTTCTTTCCCACAGTTGGTTGTTGCTAACAGTGTCCGGCCAACGGATCCGAAGTTGTTTGCGTAGACAATTGTTAATAAACACCTGTATTTTCTGGATGATGGTTTTCGTAGTTCTCAAAGATTCCACCCCATACAGTAGACCTGTCTTGACATTTATGTTGAAAATTAGTACATCTACCAGTGAATCTTTCTTTGAGTTTAATATTCAACTGCTTTAATTTTAACAATCCACTTGTCTAAAACCGGAGTTCACGTTTAATTACAAGTTCAAAATCAACTAAACTCATTTACCAGGAAAATGTTAACGTAGTCAAATTTGAGACATACTACTTTCATGATGGTTTATAATAATATCTAAATGGGCTAAGTTGTAATTAAAGGGATACACTTCGGACCTGAAACCTATTAGTTGTGGACTAAACGTAACAGCCACCAATAATTTTAGAGTCACAACTAAATGATCCCAATGAGTGCATGTAGTTATAGATAATTTGTACCATAAACTAATATTACTTAGTGAATCGCACTGTGTTGACTTGAGCTTATTGAATAATTTCAGTCTCATTAGTGACATAGTTGATTCGATACAGTACGGTTTTCTGTGAGAATGTCGTAAACTATATCTGGAAACTAGTTAATGGTTACCAGAGAATGATCATTACGTTTATTAATAAACAAAAATAAACGTCAAAATACGCAAGACATTTCTATAAAACCAATGACTTCATTAATTATTAATTACTAGGTGTTAATTGACATAGGGATGAAGTTTTCCTAGTTGAATCAATGTATGGAGTCAATAATGTCAGTATTGAGAAAATCAATCACTAACCTCGTAGCTTTTAAATAGCTCATTAATAATCTGAATCATTAAATTTTTACATAGTGATCTAAGAATATCTTGTTCATCGATGATAAAATAGATTCAATCTTCCATAAAGTAATTGATCCTTATTTTAGAGTAGTCCCAAACAAAACCAATACTACTGTCCAGTTCTACCTGATTTTTACTGATTCGATAATTCATCTCTGTATATTATAATCGATCATTACTTTGCTACTTATTCTTTTTAATCATTTAAATAATACACTTAAAAACGTTTCATTTGAATAATTGTCATTGATGCATAATTGTTAATCAGTATTATCAATTTGTATCATTTACTCAATTCATAGTGTCAGTGAATACTTTGAACAAAGAATCCCTTGTTCAAATGTAATTCGCAATACTTCATATATATGTATATAACTTCATTTTATTTGCCATTAATTCCCAGTGGTTTTTATTTTTATTAATCAAGATTTTATTGTTCATTTAATTTTTTAAAAAAAATGAAGGTAAACAATTTTTTTCGGATATTTTGGAATTTTATAAAACATTCAGGGATAATTTCTAAAGACAAAAATGAATTTATGCTAATTGATTAGTAAATTTAATAGATTGTGTTAGTGTATATCTAAACATGATCTAATTGATTCATTTACAAATGCAGCTTTTTGTTTTGATGAAATTTACTAATAGCTAGAAACAAAATTTTAAAGCGGGTGATTGAAATTCGGATTTTTTTTTAGTCAGATTGACCACTATCTTGTAGTTTATATAACTGACTAATTTTAGTTGGACAAAAATTGAAAGACCAGAAGAAAAAAATAGGTTTTTTGTTGTAGTATAGGACTTCTCAGTAAAGCATTTTCTTAACCCCCTATCAAGGATAAAACCGAAGAACTTTAAGTTTGATGCAATTTCTTAATGTTTAGAGTTAGTATACAATGGTTTATATGTCCCATATTCAGTTAACTCTAATTATTTGTAATGCAATTTATACAATATAATAATTTTCATAACTTTTTCATACTAATATTAACCAGTATCTATTGATGATCCAATAAAGATCAGTATTCACTATCCATAACTGCAAAAATCAAAAAATCATTCATAAGGTTTGGGAACTTCAACATATCATTTTTGTCAAGATAAAAATGTTTATAAGATTTGCGCTTATACAACAAACATAATTACAAGGAAAATGGTCATTTAAAAACAATGAGTCTTAGATTAAACGATCGTTTCCAATAATTTCTTCATAAGACTATACAGTTATAAATTTAGTGATATTATCTTTTTGTTACAACAGACAAAATAGTCAAGTTAGATTCATCCGAAAATTAATTGAAAATGGCAAACTTCAAATCGATTGAGTCTTGCAAACTAACAAAACAATACTATTGGCAATGTTGAAAAAGGTCATAGATAGGGGGTAAGAAAATGTTAAGTCTTAATTAAGATCATGAATTTTAATCAATAGAATCAAATCGTTTGTAAAACAACTTAGGAAAAGATGGGAATCGTCGTATAGTAGTGGTTATTATGATAATAATAACATCAATAATAAAAATATCATGTAGAATAAGAAAGGTGAATGTATAATTAAAGGTAAGAGAAATGTCTTGGAATGGATAGTACATCATAATGAAGAGGGAATGACACAACGGAAACTAAAACTGAAACGACCATGATAAGGGCCAAGGTTGACAAACGAGATGTATGCATCTTTTTTCTACACATCAGTTGAATGAGTTTCTTTTAAGCGATGCCAACTATTTCAGCTATATAGAGTAAGCAAATCCCTATGCCTTTTGGCAGTTTATTAAGGACTTGGTATATAACTGAAAAGTCACCTTTAGTATTAACATTATGTATACAGTCGTTTAAGTGGGAAAGGATGATACTGTTGATAGAATTTTACTGACTTTTCCTAACCATGCCGGTATCTGTTCACCTCTGGACTAAAATGCAAGGTAAAGAAAGAAGCTTGCAATAGAAAACCAATAGAAGCTTGGCTGTCAGCTCAAGGACAAATAGTGCTAGTGGCTACGTCTGAGAAACTAAGCTGTAGAATAAATAACAGACCAATTTAAAATCAAGATCTCAATTGATGAATTGGCAGATATTATTGGCTAACTCTCACGTTGTGTTATAATGATTATTTTCAATTTATAATTGTAGTGTCTGATGAGAAAGTTATCAAAAATGTTCGTTCTTTTTAATTCTGTTTGCTTATAAATAATAATTACTGAACTTGTACAAAATTATAACCTTTCTTTAATAAATATTACATTCAGTTCCAATGTTTAACATACTGGTTCCCAACACAACTATTCATTTACGGCTCAGTGGTCTAATGGTTAAGTGCACGCGCGCGAAGCCAGTAGGTCCTGGGTTCGAGCCCCGGGCGGTGCAGGTTCGTGGATGCGCACTGCTGAGGAGTCCCATACCAGGACGAAACGGCCGTCCAGTGCTTACAGGTTTTCAATGGTGGTCTAGCTTCAACTGACTCATGATTTCAATCTGTGAAAATTTACATTTTCGTCGAGTTTTTTATTACTCATAAGAATAAAACTGAGTCAAAAACACATTTATATAATCATTCCTTCCATATAACACATTAACTGTTACATATCAGTTTAGATGACAAAAGGTGATATGCATTTATATTTTAATTTCAGTAAAGACATGAACTTGATAAAATGCTTGTTCCCAGTCTTGATAATTAAATATGATCCACCTGTAATTTATTATTCAACCAATCAGAAGTCAACTACTCAAACTTCACACGAGTTGTTGTCTTATAGCTATTTGACATAAAATTTGTTTCAGATAAGCATTTATTCATGTAAGAGTACATGCCATTTTTTATTCTTTAGTGCACCTTTGGGGACTTAACAATAAAACATAATCTCAAAAATATCACTTATTATCGTAGGCTCTCATCAGTGATGTCAGAATCACTTTTATTTTCCAACCCTCCCCCCTTATGAAAGGGACTATTTACCTGAACAGATAAAACATTTCTCTCTTTCTTTTCATGAGTATATCACCTGATATTTTTCTCAAATACTGTGGACGTAATAAACAAAGGTATATACAGTGATTTCCTTTTTGATAGAGAAGAAATAAATAACTCAATTGATGTTTCATGTAAAAAGCGATTATCGACCAGAACAATTAACACATGATAAAATAATTGACAATAATCTTTTTATTCAAGCCTGTCTTTAGAATGTGAACAAAATTATTCCGTCTATTTTAATTCTATGCTTCAAGTTCCTGTTATACTTTTTATCCTTGTTAATGTCAAAATAATTTCTAGGAGATAATAAGATTTTTATTCTATATCCTCACTTCTCTGTTTATGTCTTGGATACAAAAAAGATCTAACAAACCCATTTATTTGTTTATCCTTTTTTATGTAATATTGTATGTACCCAATACTGTATTTTAACCCATCATTTTGTATGATGATCGAGCGTCCGTACGTGCGTATTTTTCTCTGCTTATCACTATTTTGAGAGATCTTGCTTCCTTCATCGATTCAATATGTACACTTTGGCCTAACTTATTTCAATCAAACAAAATTATTTGTTATGGCAGATTTTCAATTTCAGCAGAATAACATCTAATAATAATGAGTAAAAAAATCCAGATGAC